TACATTACGTTACGTTACATTGCGTTGCGTTGCGTTGCGTTGCGTTACATTACATTACATTACGTTACGTAACGTTGCGTTGCGTCGTTACCTGTTCTTGTATAGTGCATCTCCATTGTTCAGTGTGAACGGACATTTCAGCTGCAGGTTCTGTCCCACGATGCCCTCAACCTGTGCGTCGCTGGCCAGGTCCTCTCCCAACACTGCAACAACAACCAAACAAACACTATATAATATATATCAATATTTCATCTCTCGATTTCCAGTTGACTCCCAGCAATGCAACAACAAGGAAACAAACACTATATATTATATATAAAATATTTCATCTCTCGATTTCCAGTTGACTACCAGCACTGCGACAACACGCATACTAACACTATATATATATAAATATTTCATCTCTCGATTTCCAGTTAACTCCCAGCACTGCAACAACAAGGAAACAGGCGTTCGATAAATGGTTTCATTTCTCGATTTCCAGTTGACATGTGGCACCTACGCAAGATAATCGTGCCATACTTCATTGGTTAGTGTTGCTATGTCGGTTAATATAAGCTGGAACAGTTTTCTATGCATTGTTCTACGCATGCGCGCCAAATTTACGATTTCGCAGCACTTCGTTGCCAAGCATCGTCTTTTAGAAAGTGTCCCATCGCAACAATGATTGGCTAGAAGTTGTCACGTACGAGTGACGTCACATACGCGCGACGTTCGCGTGACACTCGAAGCTAAGCCGAATCAATATCGTCATGTTGAGATTTTTCCCAATATTATCATATAATCCGTTAGGCGCTACATATCGCTGTCAGTATGATAACACAGTCTGTCGGCACCTGTTGTCGTTTCTGCCCGTCGACACGTGTGTTTTCGCTCGCCGCTGCGACACTTCGCGGCCGAGTTTGCGTTTGAGATTTTGTGCGATATATATAATATTTGCAGACTAGGAAATGGGATTCTTTCGCGTGAAAATACGGGATATGTTGCAAGTTCTAGCTTGATCGACGTCGACGCAGCGTGCTCTCTATCGCGGCCGCGCGTGCGTGCTCCCTATCACGGCCGCGCGTGCGTGCTCCCTAT